TTTAAACACAGTTGTACGAGGTAGGTTTCCTTACTGACCAGTATCTTTCCTCTACTTTCTTGGTGAGCCGAATCTTTCTCTGCGCTGACTGCACGTCAGCATTGCTAGAGGCTGTGCTCTCAAGCGCTGCGTGTTTACCCTGAAGTTTAAAATCTTTTCTGTTGAGGAGCTGACCTTCTCAGGTGTGGCAAGGCCCTGCTTGTGTCATGAGGAGGCGGAAAGAGTAGATGATCCCTGCCTGGTCCCCAGAGTCTCCTGGGAGAGCAGGGTTTTGTAAGTGAGGGCTGTTGATGAAGTCCTCTTCGCTCTTGTCACCATACTTACACTTCGCCCGGACACGCTCCCCAGCTCGCCCCTTTCCTGGCAGCTTTTCCTTTCAGCCTCGCCTCGTATGGATTTTGTGCAGCTGCTCATGGCTCTGGGCTGCTTCCCATTAGGGGCTCCATCATGACCCACTGGGGACCGCTTTTTTAAAATACTTGGAAATTTATTTATTTTCTGCTGTGAGGCGTGCGTGCTCTTCTAGTAAATAAGTCTGAGGTAAGCTGCTGATGCTGGACCAGAGGAGAGCTTTGCATTTATTACATCTTTAATGAAGGCGCTCCAGAACGTCCTTAATAAATACTGATGAACTCATGGCTGCATTTATCCATCTCTGCTTCTCCAGGGAATTATGGGAAGGGCCACAGCTCCAATAACTCTGCATAATCATCATCGACTCTGACTCTATTGATTGTCATTAACCAAGATGTATGGAAAGCAGTTCTAAGTGTGCAGTGCATGTACCACACAAGGGCCATTAAGATGTTCATTATTTTTCAATTGCTGCGTCTTACGCTCCCCTCGATGTTTGCTCTAGTGCATTTCCACAGAGTGGCTGCACTGTGGGGCCGAGTTCATTTTGTTAATTGTGCACTACAGCAGTCATGTTCTGTAGAAAAGGGTAAATACTTTGGATCTTATTGATCACTACAGCAAACTCAGAGCAAGTGAAGAGCTCTCCAAACCTGTGTGTGTGCGTGTGCGTGCGCTGAGGGTGTAACTACCCTCTGGTATGTGGGTGCTATGTCTCAGCAGCTTTCGGCCACATCCACCTTCCCGGTCTCCTTCAGGTCGCCATCAGTGTGGGCCCCCCCTGCTCACAGCACCCCTTGCATAGGAGCAGTTCTTGGGCCAACACAGGCTACAACTGCTGGTGGCTGTGGAGTAGCCTGGGAGATGCTGGGGAGTGGAAGCGGAAAGCAGGGGACAGGACACAAAGGAGAGCACCCCAGACTCAGGCCCAGGGCTAGACCAGTTTCCTCCGGGGAGCCCACTCCAGCTGGTCAAGAGGGTTGTCAGCACCAAGGAGTGCTCGGCTGGGGGGGGGGTGCCCTCTGCACTCCTAGGCTTCACAGGTCTTTAGTGACCCAGTACAGCACGCCCGTGTCTTCCTAGTTGGGGGAGCACGGCAGTGGGGCCCGTGACTCAGGGCTCCCAGTGTTCAGAAGCAGGTGCTGCTGAGGCCCGATCTGGATGGAGTTGGGGCTTCATTTGGGAATGGCTGAAACAGGGTCCGTGGAGGAAGAAATTTCGATGATCTTTGAATGAAATTGGGTGTGGAAGGCACCCCACCCATGCTCCGGTTCCCACTTTGCTGCTGTCTGACTTCCCGTGAGATGGGGTGGAGGGACTGATGGGGAGGGGGGGGTTGTGTCCTGCCCAGCTAGGCACAGTCTGCAGACCACAGATTCCTTGTGTCTGTCTGACTTGCATGGGGCTGGTTCTTGTGAGCCGTGTCTGTTGCGGGCTGAGGGAACCAGGCACTTAAATTGTGCCTCAGCCCTCTTCCACCAAACCCACCTCCACTTGTCCAGGTTGCTGGGAAGAGCCGAGAACCCACTTGTGTTTGATGACTAAGAGCTGGCACTGGGGAGGAAGTGCAGCCTCCCCTGCAGGGTGTCACCCCGGCCGGGTGTGGAAGGTGGTGCAAGGTGGGACCAGTTCCTGTATCCCCTTTCTGCTGGCCTTTTGCTCTGAAGTCATCTGCTGGCAGAAGCACATGTTAGCGAAAGCTCTTCAGTGGTAATCATTTTAAATTGGCAATTGCCCTGGTGTACCAGGGAGCCTGGCTTGGGAGTCGGCTGCCGTCTCTGACCTCCATATTTAGAGGTAAGCACCTTGCCAGGCGTAGCGTGACTGGGAAAGCAGGTGGTTCTCTGTGACCCTGGCCCATGTGCAGCTGAGCTGCATCCTCATGAGCTGTGACAAGGTTGCCCACGCTCTTCTGTGCCCATGCATCAGCTAATGTGGTTGTAGCTGTACTGTGTACACTAATTACAGCCATCAACGCCAAGGTCCAGAGGCTTCCCGACAGTATGACTGTCACACTGGTGTCTTAATTGGTTGAGTGTAATTGTCATTAGGCGGCAGTAAAGCACCTGGAGCCTTTCCCGCCTCCATTCTCCCATCCCCCCTTGCTCCTGGCCATTGTGAGTTAAGCACACTTTAGACAGCCCTTGGGAGTTCATGCAGGTCCCCCTGCCCTAACTAGTGTTGTGCATTGGTGAAGATGCCTGTCTGCAGCATGCTTCAGCAGGCACCAAATCCTCTGCTGTGTCCTTTCCTCCCTTAGCCGTCAGAGCCTGCGCATGTGCCCTACAGCTCTTGCTCAAATGGGAAATCTGCCTCCGCAGTGACAGGGGCAAATGCTTGTGATTTGCATGCTTCTTTGGCTTCAGAGAACAGTTAATTCAAGTGGCTGTCTGGAAAGTTCCCTGTTTATGCAAATAACTGGGTTAACTGATGTCTCCCTGGAAGGAGACACAGAAGTCTAAGGAGAATTGCCCGTGTTCTGGGCACTGGAGGCTGCTGGTTGGGAGCAAGGGCAGCTGCTGCCACCTGTGAGCACACTGCTGTGACCTGCCCTTCCCACACACCACTCCCCTGTAGCATTGGCTGTGTGTGAGGTGGAGAGGCAGGGCCAGGTGAGGAGGTGAGGCCAGCTGCGGAAGGCACCCAGCTGTGAGTCATCAAGGCCGGCTGACTGCAGGTGGGACAGCCAGGAGACTAGGGTGGCCCTGGGATGGGTGGGAGAGCCATGGTGTGTGAGTATTGGAGGGGATGGGGGAGCACAAGGGAGCTGGGTGTCGGGAAGCCGGGAGCCTGCCAGCCAGAGCCTCGGGAGGAGCACGTTCCTTGTCTGGTGTCCAGGGGCGGAGTGAGTGCAGTGACTTAGCTGTGCCCTCGGGGTCCCTGCCCTGCTTCCCTGCTCAGCTCCCAAATGGGGACATAGCGGTGGTGTCTCACACAGCTCCTTTCTGTGTGGCTCAGGTGAAGCTGTTTTCCTTGGTGTTTGTTACTGGAGCCCCGATCCCTCAGAGCCTGCTCCCCGCCCCTCCCACTGCAGCCAGGCCTGCCCAGAACAGGAACAGGCTTTCCTTTCCCGAACCTTTCTCTTCAGCTTGCTCTTCCAAGTTGTGGTTCCTTTCATTGAGTTGGACTCAGTCTAGACTCACATGTTCGCCTTGTCTGTAGCTGAAACAGTGGCTGTCTCTTCCCGTGAATAACCCAAGCCAGTCTGCGGGTGCTGAGCCTGGTGGAGGCCAGTTTGTGTGTGATTCCTCATCAGCAGTGGTCGTCCAGAGCACTTCCTGAAGAGCCTGTCACTGTGGCTGTTCAGGGCCACATCAGTGTGCAGCGCTGGTTCTGCATTGAGACTGTTGAGGACAGTCAGGAGGGTTAGTGACCATCCCAGCTCCCGAGGCAGCAATCCAGTGTTGGGACGCCTCCTACTGTGTGCTCCTGACAGAGTGTTGTCTGCACCCTGTGCTGCAGAGGGAGCGCATGCACACATCACTGGGGATTAACAGTTGGGACCTGCCGCAGTGTGTTATAGAGGAATTCTCCCGAGTCTGGGTGCGTACTTCTCATTAAGAAATCTTGCCCTGGCTGGCTGCGATGGCTGAGGAGGTAAAGCACTTGTTCTGAAAAGCCTGCATCTATCTTTGGAGCCACATGAAGGTGGGAAGAGAGTCCACTGGCAAAGTTGCCCTCTGGCTTTCACACGTGTGCTGTGGCATACATGTGCCCCTCCTCCGTGGCATCCAGATAAACATGGATCTCTCACCTGACACTGGCCTTCTGAAGCCACCTCAGACACGCGTGTCCTAGGTTTGGGAGATGAATAGAATGTGGTTGAGGCCTCCTAGAGTCCCTGCCTCCCTGTGCCCCTGTGAGCCGCCCCCACGGGTGCTTCTCATCGCCCGCCCTCCTCACCAGAGGGATTCAGGAGGAGGAACGTAGACCCCTCAGTAACAGGCAGTGCACAGCTTCATTTGGTTACCCCATCATCCTGGGGCTTCGTGACCCAGTGGTTCATCTGGGAAGCGGCCAAAGCCACGGCCCAGAGCTAGTGTCCCTGCTTTCTCAGCAGGCAGGCCAGGCACCTTTTCACGAGAAGGCGGCAGTGCCTGAGCAGACTGATGTCCTCAGGGGCCCTAATCAGTTAGCTCTGCTCCTGGAGGAGGTGGTGTGAAGAGCTCCGTCTGCGGGGCTGTTAGTTCCCAGTGTCCCGGCCGCACCTGCGTCTCTGCAGGCCGTGTGATGGGAATGCCAGCCAGCATGTGTCGTCCCTGCCTGTGATTCCTAGAGTGGGAGGGGCGAAGGTGACAGCTCGGTTATGAGGAGGGAGTACGCCATCACAGTACTTGTTCCTTTCCCTTCCTTCCTTCCTGAGACGGGGCTTCTCTGTGCAGCCCTGGCTGTCCTGGAGCTCTCTGTGTAGACCAGGCTGGCCTCCAACTCACAGAAATCCACCTGCCTCTGCCTCCTGAGTGCTGGGATTAAGGGCAGTAAGTATCGTCCTTGTGCTGTGTCCACATCTTTTGTAGTTCAGTTGACACCTCCCCGTTAGTCCCCCATGCAAATGGCCACAGCAGCAGCACTTCCTAACCACCTCACACACTGCTGTGTGTAGCCCCCAGATTTCCCTCGGAACCAAGGGTATTCTTCTCTTCCAGATACACTTCAGGGGACGTAAGGGTGTGGGACACCCGCACCTGGGACTATGTGGCCCCCTTCCTGGAATCTGAGTCTGAGGAGGAGGAGCCTGGAATGCAGCCATATGTCTCCTTTGTGAGGATCAACAGCTCACTGGCAGTGGCGGCTTACGAGGATGGTGAGTACCCCAGTACCCCAGCTTCCCCCTCCCCGCCCATGTGCAGAAGAAAGCCTCATCAACTGCAGCAGCTGCAGCTGCTCCCATCTCCTCTATGCATACACATTCACATGCTCCCTGCCTCCACACATAGGCATATGCACATTCACACACACTCTGCCTCTTCCCTGGGAACACGAGCACATACACATCCATGTACTGCCTTCTGCCTTTATGTGAAGAAGCTAGCCAGAAACCCTGGTCCATTAGTAGGCATTGGACATGGTACCCATTAAAACTGCTGTTTAATTCATCCTGGAACCATGGAGCTGGGTACCAGTGCCAGGCGTGATGAGGTTGGCCGGATCATCTTAAGCAAATGGTTGTGTATAGTTTAAAATATTAAATGTACGTCTCCTCCTTTTCCTATATCCTCGGCTCAAGCTAAAAAGGATAGAGACAAGGATGGAGAGGTGATCTGACATGGGCAGGCACAGAACTGACCATCAGCGCCTGCCTGCGCCTGGCACTCAGCCACCAAGCACAGCTCTTTGTGTGTTGTCTCTGCCTGAAGAGAATCCTGAGTGTGTGTGAGCAACTGTGGCTTTACAGAACTGTTACTGGAACGATGGGACATGCGATGTTTTAGCTGGTAGAAGTGATCACATCGCTAGCCATGGCAGCCTGCCTGCCTATTGCTCGAAGCCCTGGTGTCCATTGTGTTGGAAAGTCTGCAGCTCCGAGAGCCTTGCCGCCCCACCCCCCACCTCCAGCTTGGAAGTTGCACCACAGCACATTTCAGGGACTCAGTGTCCATGCCAGGGTTATGCAGATCTTCAGGCATCGTGCTGTCATTTGGCACAGAAGGGTGGAGCGACAGTAGCCATTAGGAAATTTTACAAACATCTGATATTCAGAGCTGAGAGTAAATGCGGGGATTTAAAAGTTGAGCAGAACTTTGTACTTTATTCTTCTGGTTTAATGTTAGTAGACATCACAGGTGGACATTAGCTGAGTTGAGATTTGGGGTGTGGCTCAGCATTGTGCTTGCCTGCCATACATGACGCTCGAGGCTCAACTACACCTTCTTCAAAGCAGTAGCAACAGCAACAGCAACAGTATGCTGCTTCTGTGGCCTAGGTAGGCTTTTCCATGTGTGGTTGCTGATCCCAGGTGAGCAGTGTAGCCTCAGATGGAGCATGCTTGTTGCTTAGTCTCCGGCTGGACTGGCCGCTTTGGAATCGCTTCCTGTCCTGCACTCTTGAATGGCACAGACTCCTCTGCTGTTGTGGAACTGAAGGTTTGAAGCCACAGTTGCTGTCCTTCCAGGTCCACTGTTGTCTGGAGCAGTACTGCTGACAGCAGACATGGAGACGAGACTCTCATAGAGTGAGCACTGGCCTCGTCATATCTGACGAGCTTGCCGATAGAGCTGGAAGGAAAATCAAGTGTGCTGCAAGTTAGGTGTGCAGACAGACAGACAGGCAGACAGTGATGTACACAGATGTGCGTGCATGCAGACACAGGGAGTCTGGGGCATGCTAAGTAGGGTTTCTCTACTGAGCTGCACCTGGTGCTGACAGGAACATCTTTGGCCCATTGTCACCGTCATTGCATAGAAATAAGTGAGCAACCCGGGCATGACACAGAACTTCCTTTAGAGTAAATATTTGAACAGGGGATTTCAAAACATATGTCAAGTATTTTGCTTAGAAATCTTAATTCACCCAGGAGTAGTGGACATCTTTACTACCAGTATTTGGGGGGTAGAGGTGGATGGAGTTCTGAGTTTGAGGCCAGCCTGATCTACTTAGTGAGCTCTAGACCATCTGGGGCTACATGTTGAGGACCTATCTTAAAAAAAAAAAAAAAATTATAAAGTTCAAACAGCAAAGCTGTTAAAAAGGGAAAAGAAACTATTCAGGGTGTTCTGCAACGCCTGGGCCCTCTCTCATCTTCCTAGGCCAGCTTTGCCCACTTGGGTGTGTCGCGTTGTTTTTAACCTAAGGACACACCATGCTGATACTCTGTGTTGCTCCTGCCTCTTCTCAGTGACATGCAGTGCTGTACCAGGCCACATCTGTTGAGCCCTTATTGCTGCACATCTGAGCTACTGGTATGGGTGTTTTGCCTACACGTATGTCCCGGTGCACCACCTGCATGTAGTGCCCATGGAAGCAAGAAGAGAACATTGAGTCCCCCGGAACTGGAGTTACGTACAGTTGTGAGCCACCATGTGGCTGCTGGGAATCAAGTCAGGGTCTTTGGAAAAGCAGCCAGTGCTCTAACGACCGAGCCATCTCTCCAGCTCCCACCTCTTGGCTTTTTGGTGTAGCAGTATATCCTAAGCCCTCATTTTTCACATCTGTGTAGCCCTCCTTTTTGTATAAGCTGGTGGCTTACTGACAAGCAGGTGTGTCTGCACGCGTTCTTCCAGGCAGCCGTGCAATGACAGGCTTTGTATAGATTCCTTTCACATGTGTGCAGAGAAGTCGTTTCCTACAGGAAGGGTTTCCCGGCAGGAGAGTGAGTACAGCTGTCCGCTGTCTTCTACTCTTCCTGCAGGTGGGAGTGGCCCCTCTGTCAAGTTTGGGGTATCGATGGGTTTGGTAGGGAATGCTAGATGACTGTGGTTGTACTTCTCCTGGGGGGCAGGGTTGAACCGTTTCTTACACATACCCATACCTGCTGCCTTCTGTTTCCTTTGTGGTTATGTCGTATTTAAATCCTAACCTAAATCCATTCTGTAGAGCAGTAGGAAGGTCAGACCTGAGGGCGGTGGTCCCTAGCACCATGGGACAGGCTGCCACATCCCACAGGTCTGGGTTTCCAGATCGGAGTGGTCTGTGCTTCGACTGCTCGGGGGCCACCGTTGACTAGTTTGGTTACATCTTGTGCTTTAGGGTCTCAGGTCATGCTGGCAGGCAGTCACTTCGCTGTCCTTCCAGGGTTCAGGATTTGCCTCAAAGCTTTGGTTTTGTCCACTTCAGTGTGAAGGCCACCCCTCCTGCTGGAGCTCACCTCTCATGCTAGCAGGCTTTAGCAATTGGATCAGGTTGTCAGGATTTCCATGGTAGATGGCAGCTTCTGTCCTTTTCCCAATCCCGGGTGGCCTTGTCCTCAGACTCACTTGGGTAACAGATTGACATATCCCTGAAGGGCTGACTCGGAGCTCACAGGTGTAAGATATCAAACGCACATTCTCCTTGTTCCCTTCCAAGAGCAGTGGCTGATGCTTCTTGGGCAGAGACGCTAGAAAAGGACCTTGTGGGGTCTGCTGTGTGCCGTTTGGGGAGTTAATGAACTCCAGCCCTCTCGTTTTGCCTAAGTGAAGTTTTGAGCCATTGAGAACCAGGCCCCTTGATGCAGCTGCCACCTCTCTGTAGTGGGAGCCTCCCTGCAGGGACCACAGTGGGAGACAGCCCTTCAGCACCCTTTCCTGAGCTGTATCCTGAGGAGTCTTGCACACGCACCTGGGAGCGGGGATTTGGCAAGGCCATACACAGTTGTGATTTTTTGAATTCCAACCCACTGGCCTCATATTTCTTGTGCCTTGTTTCCAATTGTCAGCACTGGCCACCCTCCAGTTTGATTTTACCACTAATTGTGCTGCACGTTACCATCCCGAAATGAATCAAATCAAAATGCTTTTCCTGGAGCATTAGATAAAGCAAGCGAAGGTTCTGAGTAATGAGCAGACGCTGCTAATGCGGGGACAGCGGGGACCTTGCCAGGACGCCATCTGCTCCATGCCTGCCTGCCTGCCTTTGGCCTCAAGCCACGACATTAGGAGATGGCAGTGCACTGGGACCCATGCCCGCTCGAGTTTCCCCTCAAAACCCACTCTTTGGTGAGAGGTGAGATTAGACACTGTTCTCTGAGAAAAAGTTCTGTCTACCTGCCTGGGGGAGAAGAAGAGGCAAGACCTGGGGGCATCAACTCCCAAGACTTTGACAAGTCAGGGCAGGGTCATTCAGTCCTTTCATCCCTGCCACATCCCATGCAGTTGTCTGTCACACAGACAGACAGACAGACAGACAGACAGACAGACAGACACACTCACACACGCACACAGGCCTCATTGTCTGCCTGGATCCTGGTAAGTCATTTCTCATTTACCAGTGGATCGGTGGGGGGGGGGGGAGCGGTCTGCAAGCTCCTTCAGAACTATAAAAGGTGGTGTAAGAGGACCATGGTTTGCTTAGGCAACTTTGGGGGGGGGGGTGGCTCCCAAGATCTGTTTCTAGATTTGTGTTTAAAGACAGTGAGTCAGGTTCTGAGGGTTCTGCCAGTGTTGACTGTCAGTGGCGATGCCTAACTGCGCTGTGTGGTTTACTCCTCCCCTCTGGCCAGAGCTGGAGTTGGTGATGGTGAGGTTCCTGTGAGCTGGGAGTCGCCTGCCGCCTCTGCCTGAGGATTGTGGAGAACTTCTTTTACTACCCATGACCTTTTTCTTGTCACTTTTCTCTTCAGTCCTAACTGTCCTGAGGCTCAGGAAAAACAACAGAAAGTGAAAACTGCCAGACTTTGTCCTTGTAGAAGATGAACACATTCATGTATTCACAGCATTTCCATAACAGTGGGGGTGATAGCCAACTTAGGATATTCAGGAGAGAATTAACAAACAAGTGTGTAGTGGCTAGTGGGTTGGCTCCGAGGGTAAAGGTGTTTGCTGCCACACCTAAGGCCCTGGGATCTTCCCAGAACCATGTGGCTATGAGAGAGAACCAAGTCAATGCACATACATCCACACGCATGCACACACACACACACGCACATGCACACGCTCATTCTCTCTTTCTCTGTCTCTCTCTAAGCGTTGTCAGTCTTTAAGTGCAGAATTCAGAGATGAGATGTTTTAGAAGTATTTGAGACATTGAACTTTTTTGTTCTTTTGAGACAGGCTTTCTCTTCGTAGTCCTGAAGCTCACTGTGTAGACCAGGCTGGCTTTGGAGACACTGAACTTTAATTGACTAATGCTCAGCGCATCCTAGGGTATTCAGTTTTGTTTAGACAAGCT